TTTCACGCTTATCAATTTATTTTCTAATCGGACTGATGACTAACCAAGCAAGGTAGCAAAAGCGTCTCGAATGAAATGAAAAATGGCCCGTGAAACTACTGTTTGCCCTCATTTTCTCGGCCCGCTTAACGCCATTTTCTCGTCAAGTTTCTCCCCATTCAAAATGTTTTGAGTACAAATGTTCGTACTGTGGACGGTAAATAAATTGGAAATATGAGGAACAGCTTTTTCGGGAAACAACGGAACAAGGATTGAAAAAGTTTTTTTGGTCAATTTTTTTGTTTTTCTTAAAATGTTGGTTTTTTTAATAGTCAGTTTTTCAATGAAATCTGTTCCCTCTGGTTCAAAAAATCCTTTCAAATTTATTTACCTCAAAAAAATCCTAAAGTTGTCACTAGACCTTCCTCAGTAAATTCGTTCACTTTTTATAATTTTTTTTCGGTTGGATTCATTTGAAACTCCCTGATTTACCCTTTGAAGCACTCCTTTTTTCCGAAATTCCCAAAAAAGCGCACTTTTTCCTGCTCATTTGCTCTTTAGAACTGTTTGTACATCTCTCTTTTTTCATTCTTTTCGTTCCATTTTCGACCCTTTTTTCGACACTTTTCTTCTCGTATTTCCCTCCGTCCTGCTCCTTTTTTTTCTCAATGACGTCAGTTTTTTTTTCTGCTGTTTCTTTGCCCTTTCTTTCTCTTTTATTCCCAGTTAATTCAAGTTCTTTCCAGATTTTCAATGGAGATTGTCTTTTCCGTCTTTTTCCAGAAAATATGTTTTCTTTGCTTTAAATAAATCCTCGTTTTTTTCGGCTTCAAAATGAAGAGCGAGTTTGAAAAAAATCCAGAAAATTAATTTTTTTGAGTTTATTCATTTTTCCAGGTTCTTCTGATTGAGTTATTAAGATTATTAAATTTTTTTAAAGAGTGAAAAAAATTTTTAAACTAATGAAAAAAAGGTACATTCCTGGAGCATTTCTGAGCTACTTTCGAAATATAAATTCATACTTTTTTTCTGGCTTTGAATTTTTAGAAAAAAATGCCAATTTTTCCTTGGTGCCCTAGGCATTAATCTGGAAATTTTGCTCGTTTTATATCAAAAATCGTAAAAAAAAAAGATGGCTGGATTATTTTTTCTGTTATCATGATATCATGTATCCATTTGATCTCAAAAAATCCATCCTAGGGATTTTTTTTAGAAACCTTTGAAATTTCATACACTAAAAAGTTAGTTATTTTTATGATCTTGATAAATTCTGGGACCCTAAAAAAAGTAGGTTAAAAATTTTTTTTTTCAATTTTTTTCTGCGATTTTCATTCTGAAAAATTGGGGAATTTTCCAAGTTAAAACACTCTGACTCGTCTGCACTCTATTTTCTCTCCTCTTAATTTAACCTTTCTATGAGCATGCAAGTGAGAGAAAGGAGAGCACAGACGGGTCAGACTGAATTTTCATCCCAATCTCCTTCCAACAACTGCGAAGAAAAGCTCAAAGCGCAAAAAGAAGGGAGGAAAAATCAAAAGCGTTTGCCCTAAAGTCGCCCTTTCTGTTATTTTGTTTTTCGCTCCGTAGGGGCCGGAAAAACAGGGAGAATACTCGCGAACGTCCGTCGGTCAGTGCAGAAATTCCACCCACAAAACGATGTTTTTCTTCTCTTTTTTCTTGCTCTTTACCCTCTTTTTTTTTAGGCGATTCGTCGTTTGTTTGAGTGCGTTTTTTGCCTTGCATGGCGGTGATTTCGGGATTTTTTCTACGTTTGAGCTTGCTTCAAAGATCATACATGTTCCAGGATGATTGATTGATTTTTTTATAATTTTTCATTCGGAAGCCGCACTCGTTTCTGACCAACTTTTCTAGGGATCACTTGGGGGTTCTGACGTCGCTAAAGTGGTCCCTTCGACACGTCCTCTTCGCGACACCAAGGTCTAAGAAGAATCTGACAATGGTAACGCGAAACGGACGATCTCCGGACGTTTCTGGGCGATTCTAGGGATCACTTGAGGGTTCTGAAGCCCCTAAAGTGGTCCCTAGAAATGCCCCGACACGTCCTTTTCTTAGCAAGGTCTGAGAAGACTCTGGCATTTTTTTTTTGAACTTTTGACTCGAAAGCCGGACGCGTTCATGAGAAATATTTCTAGGGATCACTTGAGGGTTCTGACGTCGCTAAAGTGGTCCCTATAAATTCTCCGACACGTCCTTTTTGCGTTAGCAAGGTCTGAGAAGACACTGAAATTGGAATGGACGTGCTCCACTCGTTTCGGGACAATTCTAGGGATCTCTTGAGGGGTTTGAAGCCCCTGAAGTGGTCCCTAGAAATGCTCCGACACGTCCTTTTCGCGTTAACAAGGTCTGAGAAGACTCTGACATTGGTAAAACGGACGTTTCTGGACAATTCCAGGGGTCACTTGAGGGTTCTGACGCCGCTAAAAAACCACTAGAAATGCCCCGACACGTCCGGTTCGTGTTACCAAGGTCCGAGAGTATTTGAAACCTTTTTGTGATTATCTATAGTGCGAATTTACCCAAAAATGCTTATTTTTTCAAAATAATGATAAAATGATCTATCATAGTGTTTCTGGACTACTCAGCCAACCAGAGTTTTGAAAAAAAGCTTTGAAATCTCAAAAATGTATCATTTTGCAGCGATTGATTTCTTTAATCCGTTAAAATCCTCCATTTCCATCAAAATTAGCAATTTGAAAAAAAAGAACCCCGGATTACTGTAATGCCTTGCTACTTCCCTATACTATCTAGTCAACTTTCCAGGTTCTTTTTTTTTTGGAATTTTTTCGAGAAAATTATTTTTCCGATTTCAGGAAAAGCCAGAAATGAATCGAAATTGTCATTCTTTTGCCTCAGACTTCCTCATTTCCCAGTCCAAACCAAGCACTACAAACTATAAATCTCCTATTTGTGCAGCGAGATCTCGACCACATTCTACTTTCTATTTCATTATCTACGTTTCTGCACGAGTTGTGGAGAATTCTGCCGCGGTTGCCCCGCAACTGAAAGTTTTGAGTCTGGCGGCTTGAAATATCATTAAGGCGCCTATTTCAAGCCCTTCCTAATCTCTCAGAAATCACTTTCCGAATGATTTCAGAGTTTCCGTTATTCTCTCAGGCATCAATTTTTGGGCTTCAAAATAAGTTGGAAGTGTAGAACTCCCAAAATCTCTTCTTAAGCTCTTTGTTATCAAGAAATATCGAGAATCTGATCATTTTCATTATTCTGAAAGCTTTTTGGGAGTCTTTAACCTTTCAAAAGGAATTTTTCCATCAAAAAACTATATTACCCTGGTACCCTCTCCTTACCCCCACTCTCTCGCTTCTATCTATAACTGAAATCATCTCTAAACCCTCTCCCTTTCACGTTATATCTCGCTAATAATTCAGACACCAAAATCATCTCCGAACTCTTTATTTCTGATAATGCTTCTTAAGTCATTCTCATTTAAAATCAAAATACTCCAATACCCTCTCCCTTTTCCCCACTATCTCGCCTCTATCGGACCCTGAATTCATCTCTAGACACTCTCAATTTCCCATGCTCTCGCTAATCATTCTGCCTTGAACTCTCTCATTTAAAAATGAAATGTAAAATTATTTGGATCCCTCTCATTTTCTCACACTGTCTCACTCATAACTCTGACACGAGAACCTTCTCTAAACTCTCTCCTTTTACGCACTCTCTTTTCAACATTTTGAGGCCAACACTTCAAAAAAAAAAAATCTCTGAACTCTCTTATTTTCCCACAATCTCTCAGCGGACATTTAATCTCATACTTTTTCACCATCTTTTCTTTTTTAAAACCTTCATCAAACTCCACAAACCTGCTTTTTATTAGATTTTGCCCAAGAAATCAAAAATCTCCGGGGGAAATTACCCACGCCAGTGAGTCACTAATGGCGCCATGTGAAATTGGAACCTGGAATTATATTTATATATAATTCTGGGGCGGAATTTTCTCATAATTTGCCAGGCAGCGGCTAATTCGTTTCTATGTGGAAACGTGTCTCGAGAATTGCTTCATTTGTATAATTTTTTTTATCGAGGAATCCGATTTCCAGTTAGTTATTACAGTAGCCTTAATAAGCTCTTACTTGTAAAATATTGGATCATTAAAAAAAAAAAACTAAATGCTTCTCCAAACTTCTATTACCAGTTCACCATGATTTTGAACTTTCGGTCGCATTTGGAATGGCTCAAAGCTGCGGTTCAGGTTGAAACTTTTTTGAATCCTCTTTTGATATATAGCCGGCGCGCAAGTCGCTTTTAGTCGGTTGCATCTTCAAGAAGGACGTTTGCCAATTTATCATGGCTTTTACCGATTTCCCACAGCTTCAAATTTTTATGCCGCATTTGGAATGGCTCAAAGCGCGTTGCGGTAGATCTGCGGCTCAAGTTGAAACTTTTTTATTCTTCTTTTATATGTAGCCGGCGCGAAAGTCGCTTTTAGTCGGGTGCATCTTCAAAAGAGCCGTTTGAGCTTTAAAAATTACTAACAACTTTTTAAAGCCGCTTTGAATAGTCTACTTTCAAATTTCCAATTTCTTTCCTAACCCTTCTAATAAAATAGTTCAGGCCAAAAATGGGATACAAATTTTGACAGTACCCATCCCATTGCCAACCAAAAGTGCACTAAAAACTACCATTTTCTTCTTCGTAAACATCCAATTTTCGTTCTTTGTGTCGAAACGGACTTTGGCACCCGCCAACTGTTCTTTTATTTATGGTTCCCGACGCCTTTTTGGTCCATTTATTCTGTTTTTCTTCCTGTTTAAAGGTTGTTTCAGGGCTTTGAAAAGAGCATAATTGATTAAAGGGGTCTTGAAGCGAAAAGCCATTTGCTGTTTTATTTTTTTTCTCTCAAGACTGAGCTAGGGAAACGGAAAATGCAATAATTCTGGCTTGATTTTGAATATAAAGAAAAATTTTTTAAAGTCAGTACGATTAATTTTGGCTTATGCATCTTCATACTGAGATTTAACACCATTGTTGCCTTTGGAATGGCTCTAAGCGTCGCGGTGACGTGGCGGCTTGATAAAATGATGCGTAAGTCGTTTTGGGTCAGGCGCAACGGCTATTTAAGCCCAAACATGTCCTTGCAAAGTACGCTTTCAACTTTTTCGCATAAATTTTAAAATTCAAAAGCTTTAAATTTCAACTTTTTTTTCTTAGGATTTTTCAAAATCACCAACTCATCAACCTTATCAACCCCACATATCTGACCCGGAAAAAGCGTCCTCGCCGTCTTTCTAAGCTTCCAAGAAATGAACTTTACCTGCAAACTTCTGCAGACGAGACAAATTTGGACCTGATCCTTTCATGAGATAACGCTGCAAAAAAGATCCGATTTGCGACCTTTTCTTTCTCAGTCTGCAGATATTCGTACTTTGTTCGATCATTTGGTTCTACGGATTAGTTTTTGAAACTTTCTCGTGGTTTCAAAAGATCAGCAGAGACTTGAAGAGGCAACAGAGAAGTCAGAGTGTCTCTATTTCTCTGAAGTCTCTTCTGGAGCCTTTTATCTCTCGTACTAGATAATTTAGGCTTTTAATGTCCACCTCTAAAACGATTCACGATCATAAGAGTCGCCAGAGAATCAGAAAAACTCTTTTTCTCTGGTGTCTCTTCATACCACTGTTGATCTTTCGTTCCTGCAATAGAAAAACTCCGAAAATCAATGAAAATTAGAGATCAATGGTAACCTGTGGAGACTTCAGAGAACTTAAAAAATCTCTCTTTCTCTAGCGTCTCTTCGGACCGACGCTGATCTCTCATTTCTGCAAGAGACTCCGGAATAAGCTTAAATAATAAAGCAACTTTGGCCTGAAGAGACGCTATAAAAGCAGAGAAATCTCTCTTTCTCTGACATCTCTCTAGGCCGATGTTGATCTCTCGTTTCTGCTATAGAAAAACTTCGGAAGTCAATGAAAATTAGATATCAACGGCGGCCTGAAGAGACGCTATAGAAGCAGATAAATCTCTCGTTCTCTAAAGTCTCTTCAAGTCAATTATGATCCCTAGTTTCTGCTATAGAGAATGCTCCGAAAATCAATGAAAATTAAAGATCAACAGAGGCCTGAAGAGACGCCAGATTAGCGGAAAAACTCTCTTTCTCTGGTGTTTCTTCAGGTGTCACTGCTCTCTAACTTTCACTAACTTTGATTTTTTTTTCTCTAAGAAGCCATCTCATCCTAGTCATTTTCTCATTCTTCACTTCAAATTCCATTAAAAAGATCTGATCCCGACTCTCTTAATGAAACTTCCTCTTATTCACACTTCTCAGAAAGTATTACTCATCTTATTCAAAAAAGGTAATCCTCTCCATTCACCGTAATCCCCGTCTATGAGATGATTCTTCCCTGCTTATTTCCTTTTCATTGATCTCAACAGGTTTTCAGAACGGATCCCAAAAAGTCATTTTCGGAGCGGCGACGGTCTCCCGAGCGGATGCCGGCCAGCAAGATGCTCATCGACCCGATGCTCGAGCCCTTCATTTGCAAGTACGAGCCCAGCGACGAGTTTGGAAAGTACAACCAGAGTTGGTTTTACGTTTCTCTTCTCGTAATGGTTATAGTTTAATCACCATTGACTAGGGAATGGTCTCAGACCATGTTTTCTAATTGTAGTTTTTCATGCTGGTTCCAAATAATCCAATCTCAAAAGCTCTGTGTAAAAAGTTATGGGCCCTCCAAAGTCGAAAACTTCATAGTCTTTGATCAGCTCACTTTTGGAGGGTTTAGAGATCCTTGCTGAATTTTCTAGATATTTTTTTCTAGCGAAAAAGCAAAAATGAAGGATCACCCGTTTTGTAGATAATTTTAGAGCCATGAATGGATAATAGGTTTTTTTTATCTGGTAAGAACAAGAAATCAAAAAGAAACTTGGGGCTCAAAAAATTAAAATCCTTTTTTTATCACTTTAATTTTAAAAATTAGGCGTTCGTTGTGTCTTTTCTTTCGGAAAAAGTGACTAGGAAAACTTTTTTTGAGCATAGAGTAAATTAATTATTCTTCTGACATGTGAAAATTGCAACTGGCTCAAGGCGAAAGTTTAATTATTCATCCAATTGTGAAGAAAAATTCTTAATTAAAAAAACATTCAGAAGAAGCTCGCTGAATAAAAACTTCAAGGCGGAAATTCAAAAAAAACTTTTCAAACAAAAAAATTATTTAACCATAAAGTTTCCGTTTTTTTCGCAACTTTTTTTCGTTTTTGGTCAGCATTTTTTTCATGCTTTCAGGAAAATTGAAGATTCCGAAAAATTTAGAAAAAGGTTTTTTTGAGAAGATCTACGAAAGGAAGCGTCTGAAGCAGTAGAATATCGCAAAAAAATTGAAAAAAATTTAAAGATCAATGCGAAATTTGCCGCGGTCAGAACGTAGTTAGAGAAAAAGAGATTTCTGATTTCTCTTTCGACTGCCGTTTGATTATCGCTTTTTTGAATGATTCAACATACGAATAAGGTCCTAGGGGAAAAAAAGGATGACCATTTTTCTGAAATTTGAAGGAAAAAAATTCACATTTGAAAATCAAAAAGACTTTCTCTGGAATTTTTCAAACTTTTTTTATAGCAGCGACTCTCAAAGATATTCACCAAATAAGGAAAAAAATGAATTATTATATTTAAAAAAACGCCCAAAATATTTTCAGTGGACACCTCCCCCTCCACTTCCAATGGGGATATGTCAAGCGGCTCCTCCACGACCAAACTAATTTGCGACGTCTGCGGCGATGTCGCTTTCGGGAAGCACTACGGCGTCAACGCGTGCAACGGCTGCAAGGGCTTTTTCCGCAGAAGGTTGGTTTTTAAAAGGGTCTCGAGAGGAAAACTGATCTCTACAGTGTCTGGTCCCGGCGACAGTACACCTGTCGGTTCGGCGGCGACTGTCCCGTCGTCAAGGAGCATCGGAACGTGTGTCGGTCCTGCCGTCTGAAAAAATGCTTCGAAGTCGGCATGAATCCTGATGGTTTCTTTTAAATTATTCGAATTCTTGAAAAATCACAAACTACTTGAAGACCTATACAAACTTCTTTCTTAAATCACTTGTAAACGATTTTTTCAGGTTGCAGGGAAGCAAAAATAGAAAAAATTTTAGAAGAAAATGAAAAAAGGTCCTCGGTCCCCAGCAAAGAGAACCGGGCGCGCTTCGGACGTTTCTGAGCAATTCTAGGACCACTTAAAAGTGTTAACGTCCCTAAATGGATCACTAAAAATGCCCGAATCACTTGAAAACGACTTTTTTCAGGTTCTGAAGAGCAAAAATCAAGAAGGCTCAAAATAAAATCAAAAAAACGTCCTCGGTCCTCGGTGACAAAAACCGGACGTTTCCGAGTATTTCTAGGGATCACTTAGGAGCGTTAACGCTCTTAAGTAATCCCTAGAATTGCTCAGAACGTCTGGAGCACGTCCGTTTCGCTTTACCAATGTCCGAGAAGACCCGAGTCGTTTTAGTTGGGTTTTTTGAAGCGAAAAAGACTATGAAACAAATATTTCAAGAAAAGAATATGAAGGAAAATGATTCGAAAAGTTTTTCAGCCGTTCAAAACGAAAGAGACCGAAACTCAAAAAATGGCTCCGCTCCTGATGGATCGCCACAGGAGCTCACAATTCTGCCGAACGGAGCGATTCGCCGGAAAAGGAATCGTCCTATTTCTGTCGATGCTTTCACTCAGGTGGCTTTTACCATCAATTTTTGGTGCTCAGAAGGGAGATTGAAGAAGTTTCAAGGTTCAGAATTCGATGAAACTTTGCTGGGAGGTACTTTGGGACATCCTGATTTCTAATCAGCTACAAAAAAGGGCTCATTTGTTTTGGTAGTGTAAAAAAACTCGTTTAAATAGGGAACTCAGTTTTTCCTAACTTACTTGGAGTCAGGGAGTCTTATAGCAAGTCTCAGCCAAGTTCTATCAAATTCCTAATCGGAAGGCTTGTGCAGTAGCCACTTGAGGTATTTTAATAACGAAGCCCCTCTACAGAGTAATTCGAAGAATTTCAACTCAAAAATTGATACAGACTCAAGAAGCTTGCCAACTTAGTGATTTTCTACGTTTCTGATGGAAAAAGTGGTCACTTTTCTCGAAGTGGTCTCTCAAGTGGCCATTCAAGGAGTATAAAAAATCACCTCCAAGATTTTCTACACTCCATGATCCTTTTCTGCATGTCTCTAGTTCGAAATAGACTAGAAAAAATTTTGAAATTTTCTCCATCTATCAACTTTATCAATTACAGACAGAACAAACAGATGATTGGTCGGCATCCACTGATAATGGCCTCCGGAACGGCTCGGAACACAATCCGACGCCCCCGGAGCCTTCAGAAATGCCCTCGCCCGACGAGTACATGCGTATTCCGGCCTATTTATTGAATGTTGAAACTCAGGTTTTTTTATATTTTTGAATTTGATTCTGACTAAGCCTTTTGAATAACTAGTAAATATCCCTTAAAAAGTCTCAAATAAAAAAAAGATGAGCAATTCATTTTTTGAACAGTCTTGAAAGTAGCAAATCTATAAAAAAATTCATAATTTTTTCCCACATTTTCAAGATCTGTAACAAAAAAATCCAGCACGAAAATTTCTAAGCTTTTTCGAAGAAAAAAAGTAGCCACTTGAGGGATTTTTCTACCTAAGAAATTTATTTTATCCGTGCCTACATGAATATCAAGCAATTATTTGAAAAAAATATTTTATAATAAACTCGACAAATCAAAAAAAGCCAAAAATATTTAATAATTTTTGATTAAAAAAAGTAGCCACTTAAGGGATCTGATCTGGGGCGGCCACTCTAGTGATCACTTAATTCTTCTCTAAAAAATATCGTGCTGTTTCACTGATCTATGACGTTCAGAGAAATTTCAGAAACCCGAAAAAAAAAATTTAAATTTTCTATGATTCTGAAGAAAAAGGAGCCTGTTGAGATATCTCGAGAAAACAAACAAGTGATCACTTAAAAAGAAATTTTATATCTTCTAGCTCATTTTTAAGCTGAAGTTTGTTCGAAAATTCTGAAAAACACTTTAAAATGATAATTTCTTCTAAAATTCCAAAACTTTCAGGTGTTCTACAACACCCCGATCGAGGTGGATCAATCGATAGCCGTCACAAAAGAGCCGATCAGCCTACCTTTCGATGTTAATATAAATAGTTTCCTCGAATCAATCAAATCATTCCAATTTCAGGTCGTGTTCCGAAAGCCTCTACTAGTCTGTTCACGTTATCCTATGCGATTTGTCAATGATCGAGTTTTAACTCCGCCCGATCTTATAGACGGTTCGTAGTGATGTGAAATATACAATTTGACTCTAAATCATCGAAAAAAAAAAACAAAAAAAAGCTATTTGATGCTAAAAACCTTTTCCATCCTTATAAATTCTTTCAACAATCTCAAATTTTTGAGAAATAAGTAAATAAAATACTCAAAACCGCGCTGATAATGAGAAAAAAAATAGACAGAAAGCGAGAGAGTAAAGTGACATGAAGAGACGCCAGAGAAACAGGAATTTTCTCTTTCTCTGACGTCTCTTCATTTCGCTGTTGCTCTCTCCCCCCGCTTCACAACTTCATTTCTCTTTTTTTATTTTGAACTTGAAATCTAGAAAAAAAAGGGTGAGAGCAGTAGAGTTTTAAGAGGTTCCAGAGAAACTAGAAATTGTCTGTTTCTTTCGTTTCTCTTCAAAAAACCAACTTTTTCTTGTTCCCGTCAATTTTAAGGCTTCAAACCCTTAGAAAAGTGCAAAAGAAGAGGGCGAGAGAACGGAGACGTCTGAAGAGACGCCAGAGAAACAGGAATTTTCTCTGCCTCTGGCGTCTCTTCAAGCCGCTGTTGCTCCTTGGTCTCGGCTCTTTTTGAGCCCAATTTTTCAAAGTAAAACTTCAAATTTGCAGGTTGGCGCCGTCATTTCACTTATTATTCGGATTGGTGCCACTCAATGGAAGAGTTCCGACAGCTCTCCGAAGTCGATCAAGTCACTATTGCCAAGAAGAGAATTATCCTACATGGATGGTGAATTTTGAGTTGGAAAATTGACAAAATGCTTCTAACTATTATTTCTAACTAAGCAAAACGGACCTGTCGGGGCATTTCTAGTGACCACTTTAGTAGCGTCATAATTCTTAAATGGTCCCTAGAACTGAGCACTGAAATTCTCATCAACTTTAAATTTTCTTGAAGATTCTTATTTGTTCTTTTATTGAAACGTAACTTCAACTGTGAAATGACGCGAAAAGTTGACAAAAAGTTTGATGTTCAGGTTCGTCCATTCCTACTATTCTCACAAACAAGGGACCGAAGGGATTTGCTTCGCCAACGGAGCTGCCCATTTGTCCTACGGCGGGGATCCGAGGTGATTATTGGACGAAAAATTCTTTTTTTTTGTTGCTAGAAGTTGTTTTTACGCCGATTCCGAATCTGTACTCAAAATTGGCTGAATAAGTCTTTAAAAATTCATGAAAGCACAAAAAACTGCAAAAAAAACCTGCCAAACGGTACAGGATTAACTTCTGGGATGGAAAATAAATGTGAAACGCTTCTGAAAAGTCATTTTTTATTATTATTTTCATTTTCAGCAAATTTGGAAAACTCGTCGTTTTCTTGTGATTTCCTGCAACCGACAAACCTTTGAAAAACCTCGCTATAATCTCCAAAAAGGATCTCCAAAAAAATCATCGATTTTTTCAGCTTTGATTGGTCGTAACTTTTTTCACAGACGGTCTCGGAATTTTAGGCACAGTGCCATAATCAGAGGGAAAACTACAGCTATTGGACCTAGTTCTGTTGAAAAATCCCACTGCGATCAGACCCAGTCTTATTTTTTGAATATTTCTAAAATGCCCTTTCTTAAAAAAACTCCTATTGTCCAATAATGAAGCTTGAAGCTTTAATTTTTTTTTTTCCAAGGGAAAAATGACGTTTTAGTGTCACCGAGTTCTACAAGGAGATCATGCCGAGGTACATAAACTACGTCCTGAAACCGATGCGGCTTTTTGAAATGGACGACTATGAAATGGTCATCATCAAGTCGATTCTCTTCTTTTCTACTGGTTAGTTTTGAAGAAAAAACTGCATCTGTTTTGAATATTTCGAAACTCTGCAGAAACTAACGTGACTGAATAATCAGGAAGGGTCTCTGAAATCTGCTATTCCTGGTCGATTAGCCGAGGTCCTATCCTGATGTCATTGATAATCAGTGGACTGGCTCTAGTGACATATCCGTCCTTGTGTGTGACGGCTGGGGATTTTGAAGCCGTGGTTTCCCACTACCAACATTTCTTAAACCCCTTGGTTGGGTCGGGGCGGGGATCGAACTTGTGACCCTGTGGACCGTAGACAGGCACACAACCTGTTGCGCTACGGCGCGCCCCGTGCTATTCCTCTTTTGAAACGTTTATTTTATTGATATTTCATGTGTAGCCTAGGTAAATCCATTTCAAAAATCAAAACTCGGGTCATTTTTCGAAGAGTTAACTACAGAAGCAAACTTCGAAGCTGAACGTTACTAAACTAGAATTCTCAATCTTCAGATTCGGGACTTTCCCCGGCGGGAAAAGCGGTAGTCTCCGCGGCAAGGGAGAAATACCTGACCGCCTTGTACAACTACGAACGGTACGCGAAGAGCAACCAGGCGAGCCAGGCCACGGTCCGCGTCGCCAAGTTCATGATCATGCTCAGTGCTATCACGGTGAGTGAAGAAAAACCTCACCAGAGAAAGTTCTTTCAATTCAATTCAATTCAATTCAATTTGTTTATTTTTCGCAACATCGGGATGGTATGGTGATGTTGCAGGGAGGGAAAAAGACCACTAGGTGGATTAACTAACCCCACCTGTGAAGAAAAAAAAAGTTTTCTAGCAAAAAAAAGTTTTCTTTCTAGCAAATTTTCATTGAAAAATGCGAAAAAGACGCAAAACACGGCGTTTTTTTTGACGACGCTCCACCCATATTTTTCCGTGAAATGTGATGTGTCGTGTGCATGCACCGCGGCGCTCTCGCACATGCCACGTTCAAAGTAATTTTCGCGAAATTCAAAATAATATCTGAATTTCTGAAATTCAGTTATATTTTTCACTATTTTGAATTTTATTTTCAACACGGCATGTGTTTTTTAAAAAAGATGAAACTGAAAAATCGCGTTTTTCAAAAGGAGAAAGAAAAATATTGCTGTCATTTTGCAGAGCCTGACGCACCTGATGAACGAAGGCGTCCAGATGATGTCGCTTTTCAACGTGATCGCCTTCGACGACCTCATCCAGGCCACGCACAAGAACACGCCCTGTCCTTCGCCTCACTGAGAAATTCCTAGATTTTCCAAAATATTACCTCGTTTCGATCATTAAAGTCAGTTATATTGAAGCTATCAGTTAAGGTGTTTTTCTTGTAAATTTTATGTACTTTGAACTTTTTAGGGCTTCAATTCTGCTCTTCAAACACTTCGAAAACACCAAAAAAGCCTTTTTTCAGTAAATTTCTGCAAAAAGAGTCGACTAAAAAACAAAATTAATAACTTCGAGTAACTTTCCGCTTAATTTTCTATGGAAAAGTGAAATTAAAGACTATAAATATATCCAAAAATCGCGGAAACTTACTCCTTTCAAGTGTTTCATGTACCTTTTCTTCAGAATATGAGAAATATAAGATATTGAAGCCTGTAAAAGTTCAAAAAAAGACCAAAAAATCAGTTGATATTCAACTTTTCTTTGTTTTCATGTTTTCTTCTGAATTTCTACCGCACTTTCGGTTTTATTTTGTTATTTTACTCGGGAAAAGCTGTAGTGGTCTCTGAAGGGTTTTTTTTATCGAACTTATTTGATCTTTTTCTTGTCAAAATTTAATGAATAAGTAAGAAAAAATACAAATAAGACACCAAGAAGCTTAATATTCTCAAGTGGCGACTTAAAAAGTCTTTTGAGCAAGTTTAGTCCTCTAGTGACCACTACCAGATGCTGTAAAACCCTCTAGTGACCACTAGGAGCCACAAAACCCTCTAGTGGCCATTGCTAGGAGCTGCAAAATCCTCTAGTGGCTACTAGCCGGAGATGCGAAACCCCTCAGTGACCCCTAGAAGCCGCAAAACCTTCCAGGGACCACTGCGACATCTCCCACCATTTTTCAAAACACCTCCAAGTACTCTCTCTCCCCCGTGAGATTCGCTGTGATACACAATTTGACAACCAATCAAGCAACCATATATCGAATCAATCAATAAAGCGTATATTATCCGAATTTCGTCGACAATCCAAGATAAAATTATTTACAAAGTAAGAGAAGAGGAAAAAAAAAACAAAGCAATGGTGACCCGTGGGCGATTTTCTCCTTGCAATAAGTATCATTGTACAAGAAAGGTAAGCAAAAATAAGAAAATAAGTTCAATCACAGACTGATTGGGTTAAATTGTGTTCAGATATGTAGATGAGATTATGGTACAGATGTTGGCAATAGAAATGAATGATAAAATGGTACAAAATGGGGAGAAAATGGGGGAATAAATGTTAGGATTCTGTTATAATTGGGGCGACGGTTGAGCGAGTTGGGCTTGGCGGCGCGCCAGAACTTCGAGAATGGACTCTCTGAAAAATCGAAGTCTTCTACAAACTCGGGCAAAGTCGGAGTGGTGGATAATGACCGCTAAAAGGAAGAGGCTCGAAAAAGGCCGCAAAAAAGCTGCAAAAGGGCCGCAAAAAAGCTGCAAAAAGGCCGCAGAAAAGCAGCAAAAAGAGTTCCTTTATCGAGTAATTTTTTCTGGGATTTCACAGGCTCAAGAAATGTTGAAAAAAGGGAGAGACAGCAAAAATGGTGCATAAAAGCCGATGAAATGGCGCTAAGAGGCAGCAAAAAAAGGCCTTTTTCACCCTAAAAGGGACATTTTTATGGAGCCTTTTCCCATACTTTCCGACTTTGCATATGTAATATATCTTTTTAATAATTTTTAAAATTTAACTGTAACTTAAAAATTTTTAAAAAAATATTTTTTTATACCCTATCCAAGCGTATTATACAGAGAAAAACCGCGACTAACTGTATTTTCATTTTTTTTTTTCTATGAAAACAAAAAGTAGTGAGCAAGAATGACCGCGTTTGGAATGGCTACGACTGAAAAAAAGATAAATTTCTTCATTATTTTGCACCTTTCTCATGAATTAGATCCACACTCAGTTAATAATCACTTAACCCCACACTGAAACGTAAACTCAGCCGGAACTCATAAAAAATCAAGATTTCAGGATTATTTATCGAGTTGAAGCATTTTTTGAAGATTTTTCCGCCAGACTTTTTACAAATATCCACAAAATAGAACTTTCATGCTTTTCCCAGAAAATGAAGAAAAAAAAAACTAACCACTTCGGCCTCAACTCGGGCCATTTCTATAACAACTGGTGGTGGACCTGACGTTAGTGAAGGCCTACTACAGTGGGACTCCTGAAATCACCCAAATTTTAATTTTGTTCTTCCGTTCATTAAGGTAGAAATCTTACTATCATCCAGGTAGAATACCTGAGCAAAAAAGTGACTCGAAAAATCGAAAAAAAAAGAGGAAAATCGATCAGAAAATGGACGAAATACCAAAAATTCTCGATTATTTTTTGAAAAATCCTTGAAAAACTAAAAAAACACACTAGAAAAAAAATGGAAGACCTTTGATTCAATGTTTTCAAAGATACAGCAAACAAGAAATCAGAAGAAATTTACCTGAAGAATCGGAAAAAGTCACGAAAAGCTTCTAAATTCAGCATAAAATGGCATCTTTTTTTAGTGAAATTTAATTTAATTTTTTTCTATGAAATCTGAATCCCTCCTCCTTTCAAAAAAACCAAGCCCTCCCCACCAAAAACCTTAGACTATCAGAGAAATCCTCACAATATCACAAGAAAGCGTAGAAAAATCAATTTTATCTGAAACGCTTCAAAAATCATCCTATAATGAAGCTGTTTACACTTGGGAAAAATCAATTTTCAAATTTTCTCTCATTTTCCTCACAAAAACCAAACCTTCTACATCAAAAATTCAAAGAGATCCTCACAATATCACATGAAAGTGTAGAAAAATCAATGTGATCCGAGCGATTGATGGCCGAAATTTCCACTCGCGGCATCTTACTGTACTGCCGGGAAGCGCTGTTCCTACAAAGATATTAATTTTATTTGTAATAACATCTGAAAACCCACAAGATATCTACTGAACAAGTTTCTCAAACTAAACATCCTTATAAGATAAAACTAACGATTCGGCTGATCTGGACAAGCCGAGTCTTGAGAAGAAATGAGCGTTTGCCCTTGAGGGAGGTCCAGAAACGCTGTTCTTTTGAGCCGAACCGATGTACATGGGTCGTACTGAGGGCGTCTGTAAAATTGGAAATCGGTATCAACATTCAAGTTGGCCGGTTAGAAAGAAGCGTTCGGGGCCACTGATTTTGAACCCCTTCAATGGCCACTAATTTGACTACTATAGTGGCCACTAAAAAAGTTCCCAGATCCTTCTCGAATCCTATTTTTTTGAATGATGACAAGTCCATAGACCTAAGGATAATTCCTAATAATAATAACCGAAAATTCTCCTTGAAATCACATAAGCCCCCCTTTGAAGAAAAACTAACTCAAAGTGCGAAAGGAAAAAAGTTTGACGACAGAAAAATCTGATTTTAATTCAAAGTTATTTTAGGGCTACGGCGATCTGAGAACAAAATGTTCTCGTAAAGTTGACCGATGGATCTAACAAAATCTTGAAAATTGAATGGAAACCAAACCTTTTTCAAAAATGAGCCTTCTTAAGTTTTTATAAAGACCAAGAAATTTTCCAAATATTGAGAGTATTCAGTGAAACTTCCGACGATTAGACTTCAAATTTCATTGAAAGTTACAAATGAAACATCCTAATAACGCCTGAAAATTTCAGTTATCTTTCTCGCTCTCTGACGCTTATTTTGAGCTTCGCGAAATCAATTTGAGTTCGGTATAATGATTTATTTTTCCAAAATCACCTTCAGGACGTTAAAATCATCAGAAGGACAAGCCCCAGTGCTCTTAATCAAATTTGATGGAAAACTACGATCCCAACATTTTAAAAACGCTCTATTTTTTGATGGTTTCTATCCCTCAAAATCACCTTCAGGACATTAAAAGCATCGGGAGGACAAGTCCCTGTACTCGAGCCGTAAAGCGAATCCTCAGACGCGTTGGACATTCTGAAACCCCTCCAAGTTTTGCATAACCTTCCGACACAAAAACCGTTTGTAGGCGTATATCACCAGGGTGACAAACATGGCCAACATGACAAACAGCACCGCCAACGCAGGTAAAGGTGAGGATTGCGCCTGGAAATGTCACGTCCTTTTTTGATTTTAATATTGAGGAGAGAACTTTATAGTTGCCGGAAACTGGGGCGTAGAAAGCCTGGACGAATGGCCGATCACATTGGAGTCCTTCCCATCCGTGGGGACAGCTAAAGATCAAAATCTACTTCGAAACAGTTTCCTCTATATCTTCAGCCGCTCAAAAACAAATTTTCGCTATTTATAAAATAGGCAAAGTCGGAAAGGGTGGAAAAAGGCTCCATAAAGTGTTCCTTTTAGGGTGAAAAATGCTCCTTTTTTGATGCCCTTTTGCGCCTTTTCATCGGCTATTATGCATTATTTTTGCTGCCTCCCCCTTTTTTCACCATTCCTTGAGCCTGTGAAATCCCAGAAAAAAATGAAGGCTCGATAAAAGGACTCTTTTTGCTGCCTTTTCGCAGCCCTTTTGCAGACTTTTTGGTGCCTTTCTGCGGTCTTTTTTGAGCCTCTTCTTTTTAGCGGTCAATATCCACTATTCCGACTTTGCCCTAGGTGAGAGAAGGTCTGGATTTCCTTTCTAAAAAAACTCTTCTTTCATTCTTATTTTATGAAAAGATAAGCAATAAATTAAAAATTTTTGTCTATTTTTTTCAAAAAAATACAACAATAAGGGCGGAATAATAAATCATCCAAGATTTTTTGAAACGCTGAAAAAAAGACCTAAAATGGTAGCGTATGGATGGTGGAGAGCGCAGACAGGCCACGCCCCCTTAGCGACCTAAGCTAGCCGTTAATCGACTATATCCTTTTTTTCCAAGTTATAAAAAAATCAAGAATTATTTTTTTCCTACTTCTGATCCATGATGAAAAGTTTTTTTGATATGAAAAAAACCAACTGGCAAGACGGAACGACGGTCGAAACTTCGTTCTCATGAAAGATGACCTCTACGTGGCACGTGGCGTTGTGATGGCAATATTCTGAACAACGATTATTCATTAATTTACATCATAAATGAAATTTGAGACAAAGGATCTTTGCACAAGAAAGTGTTCTGAAACAGTGATGAAGACTGTCAAGGGCAAAGTCCAAAAGGACCTAAGAAGAACCTTTAAAAGGTCTCAAAGGCTCCTTTTTTCTTGGTCTTTTTAAGAAAAGACTGAAGAAGGCGAGAAATAGGAGCTCCGCCCCTAATTAGATGACAAGCCAATCAGAGATTGAGCACTCCAGAGAGGAGATTTGAATGACGTCATTACGCTTGAAATTCAAATTATGAACCAATTTTATGTTTTTCTTCAAGTTATTAGTACTAAAAGCATCACGAACACACAGAAAATATAAATTTCCAAAATGTTTCGAAACACCCGTTCTCGCAAAAATCGCACGTTAAAACTTCAGGTTCACCTCTGCACTTTTCGTCCTTGAGCTTCTCGATTTCTTTCCGAAGAACCGGAGTGAGGGTCGAAGTCGCAAAGGCGCCCGCGTTGTACTTGATCGTGTTGGTCTCAACCTCGTCATAGTACTCATACTCTTCGCTTTTCGGCGCTTCATGAGCCGGACTGAAATTTTCAGTAGACTTAATAAGAAACACGCTGGAACTATCCAAAATTGTGAAAAAGAAGAGTGCTGAAACTATCCAAAACTTCAAAATTTTGCAAAGAAAAGGCGCAGAAATAATGAGAAACTCAAATGGATGAAGCGCCGAAATACTCGGACATTGGTAACGCGAATCGGACGTGTCGTAAAATTTCTAGTGACCACTTTAGTAACGTCAGAGCTCTCAAGCAATCCCTAGAATTGCTCAGAAACGTCCGGTTTTCATTACCAAAATCCCAGTAATGAAAAATTGTGAGGAAAATACGCTAAAAATATCCAAAACTTTCCAAAAAAGGAAATGGTGCTCTGATAAGATTATCCAAAAAAATCAAAAGAAAAGACCTGAATTATCAGAAAACTCAAAGGAAAAAGTACCAAAAAAACCATAATCTCATAAGAAAAAGCGCTAAAATCATCAAAAAACACAATTTACAAGGAAGATCTTCCTGTTTTCTTTTTAGAAACTTCTGTGAAAGTTTTCCAGAAGAAATTCTGATGAAACTGATAAAGATCCTCAATGCCTCAAGCGACATTTTCCAAGAAAAACTCTTCAAAATTCACAAAAACTGCCAAAATCAAGTGAAAAAGCTCTTTTTTTTTCGAAAATTAAAAAAATAGAGGAGATACATTTGATAGAAGATTTTTCAGCTAATTTTTCGAAAGCTCCATTTCAAGAATATTGAGATCTCTCTGAAACTAACAGAGTATTCGGCCCAGGACCAGGCTCGATTTCATGATCCTCCTTCGAAGAGCCGTCGTCCGAAATGATGTTGGTCTCGAGCTCCTTGGCCCGGTTCAGGGCTTCCGGTTCGCTGGACCTTTCTTGCCGGAACCACGACGGTAGACATGATTCTGAAAGAAAGAAAGTCCAAAAAAATCGAAAGAAAATGATTAATTGAACTTACAAATGAAGCCATTTCACCTTTAACTTCTGACAGCTAACACAAGTTTAAGCATATTTTTGTTCATAAAATGAACGGATTTGAAGAAAATTCGAAAAATATTTGATAGGAAGAAAGCTTTAGCAATCTTCAGGAACCTCGTAAGACTTTTTCCGAATTTTTTTGAATTTTAAATTCTGAATCTTTACGTGAAAAAAATCTTCTTTAAATGTAATTTATACCTTTTTTTAAAGAGTCTGATCCAAAAAAAATTAAGTTTAAAATTCTATAAAATTGCTAAATTCATATGCAATAACCGATTTGAGGTCTAATCACTGTTCTTTTTGATCTTTAATAGCTTTTAAAACTTTTTATCTCGAACGAAAAAGAACAGAACCAATAAGAAAATAAGAAATGGGAAAGTTCTTTTGTCGATCTAAAAAAAACCATCAAAGTTCGAAAAAAAAAGTAAAAAAGTAAACCTAAAACGTTGAGTAACCGCTCAGGTAAGGTCGACCTGCGAGCCGCCATTTTTCCGATTTCAAACTTTTTCGAAGACGCGCATGGTAAGGAGAGGAAAAAGATTTCCATTGTCTTTCCGGGGAGAAACGCATAAAAGGGCCACAGCTGCACAGCTGTGAACCTTATATTTGTCCGCTTAAAGTACGACAAAAAACGAAACTGTACAGAAAAAAGCTTTCCCGAAAATATCAACAAGGCTGTTTTTTGAAAGAGTTTTCGATACTTTTAAAGCTTCCAATGAGATTTAAAATAAATTGAGCCACGGTTTTGGGTACAAAATCTCGATTTTTCCACGCCAAGACTCGAAAAAAGCATGGAATGTTCCAGAAAATATCAAGTAATGGACAGTTTTTCAAAAATTATATTTGACGATTTTTAAATGAACTTCTTTAAAATCTAATTTTCCACTAGATCCCGAAACTCTGAGAAACTTTCATAAGAACCTCATTTTCATTGAAATTTTCAGAAAAGGGAGCATTTTCCGTGAAATTAAGGGATGATAGAAAATTTCTAAATCTTCTGGAGCTTCAGTAAGGTGCAAAAAAAGTTTTTTTAAATATTTCGACATATTCAAAAATGAGGGCGGAAAATTGAAGATAACGTGAAAATTCTATAAAATCCGAAATTCGGGAAAAAAATCAACTTTTTCAATAAACTACAGAGTTTTTTTCTCACAAAGAAGTTAATTTAGAACAAGTGTTTTTTTTTTTCCAAACCAAATTTTGCTCCTCATTCTGAGCCTTACTACAATATGTATTAGACCAGTAGGTTTTCAATTAAGCCCAAAATCTTTTTCTTTTTCAAACTTGGTGAAGAACAAAAAAATTCATAGAAAATCATTAAATATCCCCCTCAACAAGAAATTAGAAAAAAACCAACTTTTATCGCGAATAACAGCAATTTGGTAGAAAATCCGAATGTACATAGGTGTTCGCCAACGACACTACATATCATATAAATAACGGCGCGGGATTCAATAAAATGCGGCCGTTTTTGGTCGGCTCCGAAGTGCCAACACACACAGAGAGATATGACCTCCGAACGGATCCAATTTGGATATTCAAATAAACCCGACAAATCGCAATTTGTTGGTCATACAAGGACAAAAGGTTTCTCGTGGGTTATCAGGGGGGTTTCGGAGCATTTCGAAATGAGATTTCACAAAATTAGGTTCTTTGAAAAATTAGAATGAAAAGGACAAGATTCAACTCACAAAAATGTTTTGAAATTGACGTTTCGAAAGCAGAAATGAGCGAAAATTTTAATTATTTTTCTTTTTTAGGATTCTAAATCGTTCTGAAAACTTTAGTAAAGCTATAAATCTGAAAAATAGTGATATGAATTAAAATAATCTGTTCAAAATTAATGCAATTCAGTGTTTTTAATCAATATGAAGAGTGAGAAAATAAATATGAAGAGGACATTATTATGACAAGGTTTTTCTAAATTTCTGAAATTTCTTAGAGGAAAAAAAGGGTTTAAAGATGAGAATATTTTATATCGCGCAGCCGTTTCAGGGTCCCAAAAATGGACGGCTTAGAGGGTGAGCAAACTTGAAATTTTTTTCATTAATTTCAGGGAAAAAAATTTTTTCGTTTTATAATTCTTCATTTTTTTGGTCAAACTTTCATAGAGCTATGTGAAAAAAACTTATTTTTTTCATACCAAAATAATGATTTTAATCGCTTATTTCCCAAATTTTTGGCCTTTCTGTAGCTTCGGAACCGACTAGAACGCACCTCAAAGCTCAAAAATGGTGAAATTTTCGATTTTCAGAGATTTTCTAGAGCCGAAAAGTAAGAAAAACCTGTTTTCCACATAAAAATCTATTATAGCCTCAATTTATCCATTAAGAAATTTGAAAATAACCAAAGAAGATCCCTACAAACCTGCAGGAACGACGGCGGACCATAATAGGAAGGCGAAAATCAAGTGCCGAAACTTGAGTCGAGGTAATAAAGAGCTGTAGAAGAGCTTCATGTGACGTGCCGGCCGGGCGTACCCGGGTAAATCCTCGAGTTTCGACGCCGACGGAGCCGACAACTGCATCCGTCGTCGTCAGACAGAAATCGCCTTCTGAAACTTTCAAATTGATAAAAACTTTTTCTGAAACTTCAAAAGATATCAATGACGATGAGAATACGCCTTCTGAAACTTGGGAAGTGTTAAAAAGCTCCTTACAATTTTAAGAACGATGAAAAATGCCTGATGGAGCTTTGAAAGTAATAATTAGGTCTTCTGAAACTTCTCAAACTTTAGAATCGATGAGAAAAGGCTTCCGAAACTTCGATACTTTGAAAAAAGTACGTGAGAAAAAAAAAAGACGAAACCTCAAAAATAAAAGGTCAATTTCATGTTTGAATTAATAAAAACTGTGAATTATAGGTTAATAAGAAAAATTTTTCCTCCCGCCGTTGAAATTTTGATAAAACATGATTGAAATTTACTTCAAGACCTTTAAAAATTTCTCGCAAAAGACCCTTTTTCGACTTAAGACGCTACAAAAGCTTAAAAATTAAGTTTTTTTCCATAATTATTATAATTCTCAAGCTTTGAAGCGTTGCAAGTCAAAAAAAAAACGATTTATACATTTTTCTCTTGTTTTTGACAAAAAAGGTCCGGAAGTATACTCCAGCCAAGTATCATAAAAAGATAAACCGGCAACTTAAAATAAACTCTCTGTAAATCATTTATTCTTTATAAATCAGCGCCAAAACAAAAATTTTTATAACTGAAAACTTCACAAAAACATATTGGCTGGTGATATTTTGATCTTTCAAGAGATCAAAATTGAACATAACAAGTATAGTCTGATCTAGATGCTCACTGGGTTTCTTTGAAAATATATAGAAAAAAATTATTCGAACGAAGAGTCCCCTTTTTCGCAGTGTTAATTTTGATTATTCGAGAACTTGGACCTTTTTTTCGAGTAAACTTCTACGGAAATTCAATTTTTATTCGAAGAGGGGATTGAAAAAAAGTGAAACACGATGAAAAAAATATTTTTTTAGAAACCGAAATTGATGTATATTTTTTTAAAGCTACCACGTTTTTGTTTCGCGTTGAATAGTAAGTCTTCAGAAAATGAACTTTTTTTTACATAATAGTCTTCAAAAGCAAAAAGAAGGGTTTTTTCGATTTTCCGACTTCAAAAATGTCCTCTACCTTAGAATCCTTTAAGAACTGAAGAAAACCAGAATATACGGTTCTGTAACCAAAAGAAAGTAGCCAGGTCTTACAAATACTAGCCAGAACCAAATTTAGTAGCCAAAAAGTCAAAAAAAGTGAATCACAAAGGGGCGAACTTGAGGCCGGGGGAAATATATACTGTCAGTGTGAAGAAGAGCCAAAGAGCAACTCGAGTGCCTCTGAAAGAAGGACGGAAGCTGGCGAGTTAGAAAACAGTACAGAGAGGGGGAGAAATCGAGGATGAGTCAGTGGGAGTCGAGAAGGTCGTTCCCGAGAAAGCAAACACGGTAGCCATGGCCGTGGCCTTCGTCCAGAGTCACGTCAGCCCAGAATCAAGCCATCCATTTGGGTTATAGTAACGGAAAAGAATGTATTTTAAACATACTCGGGCGAGTACAAGAGTTACATAGTCTATGAGCAGAGATTGATTTGCAGAAATTTCAAAAATCAGGTGTCAAAATAGACTTTTTTTTTCGTTAAAAGCCTCAAAAAATGGACTGCCCATGTATAACTTTGAATGAAAAAGCATACTGAGAACTCTGAGAAAATTAAAATTCGACCGTTTAGCGAGCAGTTTTGAGACTTTTTTTGAAAATTAACGAGTGTATTTCGATTTTTTCTTGAAAAACGTTTTTTTCAATACAGTTCAAAAAGTCTTCATCATTTAGGCTTTCGAATCGTTTTTTTCCTGTGTAATTTATTATTTTTTTGAAGAAAAAAATGGCCTTTAAATTAATTTAGTACCTAAAATTGACCTATTTCCCTTTTTTTTATAGTGAAACCTTAAAAAAAAGTCTCAGATTTTCGATAAATTTATATAAACTAAAAATCTAAACCGAAAAACCTAAAAATCACTCCACAACAGTCAACACACAAACCAGTAAAAAAAAAATGAAAAAAATCCGTTTCAAAATTTTGACAAAGCCATTTAGCGCTTGGCAAGTTTCCCCAAAATTCAAAAATTTACCAGGACTGGAAAATATTCTAAAAACTGTCGCATGCGAAACAGGAAACGGCAAATAAGAAAAAGTCACAGAAGACAACTTTCCCTTCTTTTTAACAACCAGAAAGCCCAGGAGCATCTTTTTTTCTTTTCTTTTTTTTCCCGTGGAAATGCAAACATTTCTACCGCAGTGTGCGAAGCTGCTCCCGTCTTTAATCTTATGCGTCTGAGAAAAATTTCCACAAGTTCTTCAAGTTCAGATCCGATTTCATAACGCGAAAAAAAGCAAATTTACTCAAATGTTTCAAAATAACGGTGTTTGAGTTCATTAAGAGCACAAGCAGGTTGCGAAAGTTGGGAAAATAATACTGATGAATCAAAAAAAAGAGCTTTATACAACAAATGCAGATTAAAAATGTATAAAAGTAGTGCAAATAAAAAGAGAACAGCTTCAAATTTCACTATACTAAACGGAGAAGCGTTCCTTTCAATCTCAAGTCCGAAAAATGCGAAAACCAACTTGATATAAGCTTTTTGAGCAGGAAAGCCGTTTTTTGTGTTATTTTGAAAATATAAAAAAAACTAGAAAGAGAGACATAAAAAATATAAACTAAAATAAAAAACAAGTACAATCTGTAAGAAACAAACTGGAAAATCATTGTCAAAAACAACAAAAAAAGCTTTTACGAAATTAACTTTTTTCATTTCAAAAGAAAAATACAAAACTTTAGACTGCTTTATATATTTTAATGAAGAAAAATTATTAAAATATAACGGTTATTGAAGATTGAACCTGAGACCATTAAAATTACTCGGTAAATCTAAAACTACTTTCAGAAAAGAAAATTGAACAATCCTTGTTGAGTTCTTTGAAGGAGAAAGGACGAAATTCGAGAAAGGCGAAAAGATTTTCCAGTTTATTTCCACTTAATCAAGAATTTCAGACCCAAACAAGAGATTTTTAACCGACTATACGATATAGTATACCTGGCTAAATTCAAAAAAAAATCACGAGAACAAAGAAAGGAGTGAAAATAAGACTTTACACGACACCTGTTTAAGATCGAAGCTCCGATGGGGCAATAAATGCGCCACACACGTTGACCAAACGCACAAAAAAAACGGAGCAGAAAAAAAACCGCTATGGTGCAAATTGTCTGTGAGATTCATTCAAAACAGCTGTTGGGGATGTTCGCTTTGGAAAAAAAAGAAATAAATGGAAATTTTCTAATCAAAATATATATATCAAAAGGAAGATAACTTGACTCTCAACAACTTGGTGGAGCTTTTAAAAGAAACAAAAGCAAAAATTCATCAATTTTTCGAATCAAATAGCCTTCTTTGGGATCATTCAGACCCATATAGGCTGCAGCGCCTTCAAAAGCTTCAACAAGCTTTTAAGAATAGATCTTATCTCATCGACTCTAAGCGATTCACAAAAATATTGCGCATATATCTTTTTAAAAAAGGAAAAACTGAGTATCGAAAAATCTTTTAATTCAACTTAAAAATAATTTAGAGTCTCATCGATTTTTCGAACGGCTAGAACACTGAAGATGATCTGAACATGGAGGAATGGATGAACACAAAGCGCAATTCCAACGATGCGCTTCATTGCCGAGACCGCCCGGCACGGCGTTTTTTAGATAAAAACGACAAAATGTCCTTTTGTAGGGAAGGTTTTCAAAAATTTTTTAAAAAATTCAACGTTTTTATCACAGAAATGAAATGACAAACTTCAAAAAATTTCATTATTTAATACAAAAAAACTTTTTCAGTAAAGGTTTTTCAGGATACATATCTGAATTATGTAAATTTGTAGTTTTTGAGTCATTTTGATAGGGTCAACCCATCTAACGGCTTTAAACTAAAAAAAAGAAAAAAAATGAAAAAAAATGAAAAAAAAATTTGACCGACTTGAATTACGGTAGTTTCGCCGTGCTAGTTCGCTCTACTTAGAGAATACTAGTCACTTGAGGGTAATATTTGATTGAAACAATTTTTGCGGGAGAAATTTTTGTTTTCAAAGTTCTTTTCTCAATTTGTACAAAAACTTCAAGCCTCCGATAATTGTACAGCTTGCCTCACATGAATTGTCACGAGATTTGTCTTTGGGGCGCTTTTTTTTCCTACCTCTTCGATTCATTATTTTTCTTATATCTTCTCGGACATTGGTAACGCGGAATGAACGTGCTCAAGACGTTTCTGAGCAGTTCTGAGGATCATTCAAGAATGCTGACGCTACTAAAGTGGTAGAAATGCCCCGACAGGTCCGATTCGCGTTACCAATGTCCGATTTTTTCTTTCTATTTGGCAGATTTTCATGCGCTTTTTAAAGTGATTCCGCAGAATTATTCTTAAAATTAGCAGTCAGACAGTTAAAAAACTTATTTCGGAGACTTGAAGAAAATATTCAAATTCAATTTCATGGAAATTACTTTGAAACACGGCGAATAATTTGAAAAATAAACATTTTTCGGTGAGACATTTTAGTTTGGATGAAATTGTTTTTTTCTGATGCCTGGCCCAAGCCTGCGCAGGGTTCTTCGAAAAAATAAGTCCAGCCAGCCTCTACTAAATTCGTGTAAAGAGCAGTGCCTATGCCCGCATATTGCAAAAAAGCTTCATGCAATCTGCAAATCAGTGCTTTGCATATTGCAAATCAGTACCCCGCATTTGCACTTTTTTTCGTTTGTAAAAAAGTGAGCCCATAAAGAAATGCAAAATGCGAGGAACTTCTGTCCAAAATGCAAAGCTCTGATTTGGAGGATGCATGCAACTTTTTTGCAGAATGCCGGCACAGGCACGGCTCTTTGCACGAATTCAGTAAAGATGCACAAGCCCGGAACTCGATACCGCAATCTGTACGCGCCCCGGACTTTTCTGAGAAACTCCAATAATTCCTTCAGATTTCAGAACTCTTGATGTTTACTAGAAATTCTTCTCAGTCCAGGACGCGTTCGATTTGCGTTACCGAGGTCTAAGCAATTGAAACTCAAAGCAATGAAGCTTGCGGAGGCTCGGATAAAGCCAGGATTCGAAAAAATCTTTCAAACTTCATCATCAAAATTATCATCCTAACTCAAAATTTTACCAAATCATTTGTTGGCCTGGCTAGCCTGCTTTGAACATTTCCAATCCGATTTTTAATAAACGATATTTGCATTCTTTTTGCTCCTTGAGCAATTTCAGCCATTGTGAATTTACTGTTATTCCTTTTCTCGTTTGCAATTTAACACAGAACGAAAAACCCTCAGCTGCTTTTAAGAGCATTGGATTGGTACCTGGTATTTTCTAGCCGGCCTCGCAGTTGATCGACCTGCGTCTGCCGAGTTTGAAGCCGTCGTCGCCACTTCGAGTAAGGAAGGCGGATTCGAGATTGACTGAACTTTTAAAGATAAAAGACGTTCAAAAACGGGAAAAGAGGATATACAGTAGCGAAAATGGGTGAGCATTTTTTGGTTTCCGTTACTTTGTCAAAAACAATCATTTTGACCTGAAATTTTAACCAATAAAATGATGTTATGGATGATTTGAATTAGATTTTGGAACCGATTCCAACAAAATTATTTTTTGAATACTCATCAATACTCATCACACCGAAAAAAAGACGCCCAATTCAGGAAATGAAAAAAAGATCTAATACTTTGTAGCATAGCCTTTGGATTTGAAAACAGCCCTGCATCTTCGAAACATTGACTCGATAAGTTTGTCCAACACGCTCATTAGGATCTTTTCTCAAACTTCTTCAAAATCTCAGGTCCAAACAATCGTTTTTAACAACAAACGTCTTCGAAATTTCAGACCAAAAAAATAGTTTTTAACAAAGTTATGAACGAAAAACCAAAAAAACATGATCACCCATTTTCACTACTGTAAATACAAAAGTCGAATCAAAAAAAGCTGCTCGTGAAGCTAAATTACTTTTTCCGCAGCCAGAATCTCTGGGGCCTTGAATCAGAATCGATTATTTATCGCGATTGCGATTTACACACTAAAAAACCGCCGAGTCTGGCACGAGAGTTTCTAGTTTTAATTCAGTGTAAATAAGGTCAAGCCTTTTTTTCTCATCATAAAGTTTTTCGAAATTAAAACCTTCACATCAATTGTTCCAGTAGTCAGTAGATTGTTTTTCCCATCTGCTTTTTTGTTTCCAATTTTATGCGTATGATCCAGACGTTTTTTCTGAAAGAAAAGTAATTAAAAAATAATTGTTCAGATATCAAACTGCACTATTTGATGTTGTAGTTGAATCTCCATGGACTGCTCAGAAAAAGATCGTTGAAAGCTTCCTGCAATAGTTTCAACATTGAAAAAATCAAGTCGATTGCATTATTTGAATCAATGTTATGACTGATTAGCTTTGTAAAGTCATAAGTAAGTTAGGGAAGCTTTATGCAGTTAGAAGAACTAACTAGGCGGTGCGCTAGAGCTCCGCTCGGCCTTGTCATAACTAATCCTAGACGCCGAAGGCCGTGACGGCATTTTCCGCGGGGGTCCCATCATCGCTTTGTCAGCATCGCGCTGCCAACAGTTTGTGCTTCCGCCACAGGAATGGGCTTCAGCGTGACTTTGCGTATCCAGTTCGCAAGCGAAAAGGATCGGCACTCCGGGAGTCCCGCGGGCCTAATCTACTAGCGCTTACAAGTCAGAAACATATTTTGGAAGTTACAAGTGTTTATGGAGGTTAAAAACTTATCTTGACGTTGAAGAAGCGAGACGAGTCGTGCAGGAAGCGGAAATGATGATTGAACGCAGGTCAAAAAAGTAGAAATGACACGTTGCCACGTGGTTTTTCATACGTGTTAATTTTTTTAATATCAGGAAAATGACTCCTTGCAAAACGTTCACGTTTTATTTTTTGCAGAGAATTAAATTTTTTCTGTACAATTATTGGAGGCTGGAACTCTGTGCAGTATCGAAGTAATAAAAAGATATTCTGTAGTCTTTCCGTTATTACAATTGAGTTATTTTTGTTCCCAGTTTGTTTTTTGATTATTGTGAATTTGAAATTTCATTCAAGGACTCTGTGTAGGTTTTTCGAGGTGTTGTCGAGTTTATCGAACACGTCTTTTGAGGTAATCGAATTAAAATGAAACAAGTTCTACCTTTTCCCCTGATTTAAAACACGAGAGTATTCTGAAAGAATTTTGTGCTATGATTTCAACTTTCTACATTTTGCTGCCTCTTTTTGTTGCTGTGAATGCAGGAATCTCACCGATTAAAAGTTATATCGGAAAGTACAATCCAACAGTTATTCCAAACGGCGATCACATGTTTGTTCTTTATTTCTCTGAATTGAGTCATGCTTTTGCTTTTTTTTTTTCTTTGTTTTAACGCCACGACTTGGAATTTCACCAAACGACATGCCGCTGCGCGCCTTTGCAAACCTTGGTCGCACTTTTAATATTTTTTTTCTTTTATTAAGGTACTTTCATGTGCTCCTACAGCAATAACAATCGATTGAAAGCGTGACCAAGATTCGAAAGACGCTTTGCGAACGCACGCAGCGGAACAGCGGAATGTCGTTCAGCGAAATTCCAAGTCGTGGCACACAGGCTATAAAAAGGCTTTGAATTAGCGTCGATAAAAGACTGTCAATGGAATTTTCAGAAGACTTTCATATTTTTTGTACTTGATGAAATATGTTTTTAGTTCCCGCCAATATCCGAAATACAAAATGGAGGTAACTTTGTCGTTTGGAATGAACGAGGAGATGACGAGAGTCGTGGAAACTGCGATCGAAGAACATTTCACCAACGATGATCTTCATATCAACGATCTTGAGGGAATTGGCGAGGTGAACATTTATTCTTGGTCGCAGGTAGAATGGCTCAACGCGTTGAGGTCGCGTTGCGGATTAAAGTACCATCGTTCAAAGCGCATGGTGAGACTTTTAGATGAAACTGTGTCCACTAGATTGAGTTTTTATAGTTTATTTTGAATCTTTAACTTGAAAGATGTTGAGGAGGTCAGTAAAAACTCAAAAATTTCTCTTGATAGATTCAAAAAAAAACTAAGAAGTGTTTTGTCTGTAGCTGGTTTCATGCCATTTCAGCCCAAATTTTCGCCCTTCTTCACAAAAAATTTGTATTTCCAGGCTGTGGAACGGCTTCTCGGCGGGTATTGGTCCGTTTCAATTTTCAGCGACCCTTACGAATTCGCCAATACTGCGTTTAAGAGGTTCGTTCATAGGGGGATTAGTGGGTTTTTCCTTTTCAAAATGTTCAAAAGGCTGGGAGGAACATCTGGTCTTCAGAAAACAATTTTTCCGGAAAACTCTCCGGAGAATAATAAAAGGGTTTGGTCGCACGGAGAATGGCTCAACGCGTTGCGGTCGCGATTTTAACAAGGTTATGTTCGTCATAAGATCACTTTGAAGATTTTATAGTCTTGAAATGTAAAACTAAAAAAATAATTTGGACCCGGGCTTGTGCGAGGGCCGGCCCGTCAACCTCTCGGCCCCCCGGCCACTTCCCAAGCCCGGCCCGGCCCGGCCTTAGAAGGGCCTCAAGCAAAAATGGCCGGCCCGGCCCAAAAAAAGCTCAAATTTTTTTCATTTTGAAATTTTCGCTTTTTTTAACGAGAAAAGTGGGATTTTTTACTTATTTTTCCTCATAAAGTTATGAGAAACTATGATTTAACAAGTAAAAAAATAATTTTTTTCGGCGAAATTTTTTTAATAACGAAATTCAAGATTTTTTTGCCAAAGCCCGGCCTGGCCCGAGCCCGCGCAGGCTTTTTCAAAATTGAAGCCCAAAGCCCGGGCCGCCCGGCCTGACGCACAAGCTTGTTTTGGACCGCAACGCGGCCACGACGCTTCGAGCCATTCTACCTGCGACCAAAATTGTTCAAGCCTTCACTAAAGAAATATACGTTTTCTGCATGAAAACAGTTTTTCTCCTCCAGATCCCCTTCTTTCATCGTCCTGGACGTCAACGGGTCCGGTGTGGCTGTCGTCAAAGAAGCTTCCAATTAATTTGGATATGTACAAAATTTATTAATAGAATTGAATAAATGAATATAATCAGGTCGAGTACTTCCGTTCTTGTGCGATTTTCTTCTCCAGATAAGCTCGCGCCAGCTTCATCGCTTCCAGTTCGAAAAATGGGTCTGAAATGAGCCTGTAATGACTCTCCGCCTCGAGAAGTTTTTTTAAAAGGGATCCTTTAAAGGATTTTTGATGAAAAAAGGAAAAACCAACGTTCGGACTCGTCGACTTGTCCACTGGCAATATGTTCACCGTCCTCGGCGACCCGAAAAGATCCGCTCACTTGCAAATCGTTTGGATATGCTGATGTTGAAACTGAAATTTAAAAAAATCAATGTCAGAACTTGGTCAAAGGCTTTCAAGTTACGTCAAGAAGCTCAAAGTGAAAAAAAAAATCCACAGCAAGTAAAATTTCTAGTCAAAAACTTTTCTGAAACATTGCTGGTTCTTGAAAAGTCTCCAAAATCAATAAGGGGTAGAAAAACTGTTCCTGAACCTTTTTACAATCCACTAGGCCACATTGGGCCTAGGAAAAGTTCAAAATTGAAAAAAAGTAGTCTCATCATCTATCCGAAAATCGAGCTCCATGGAAGAGACTTATTATTGGTTAACTCGAAAAATCAAATTTTTTTTTGGAGCCTTTTCGATACGATTTTTGAAAGTTTCTAGCATCTAGGGCTCACCAGCAAAGGGAGCTGAACTGTTTTGGTAACTTTTGAACGCCCATAACTTTTTTATAGACTTCTTCCGTGTTTCTCGAGCACAGAATCGTAAAAACGTGAAAAACTATTTTTTGCTTTGTTCAGAAGTCTTATTGCTATTCGAAGTCAAGTCGTTATTCATTTTTTTGGGGGCCGTTGTTGACTTTTTTGAAGGAGTATAGTGAAAAGTTAAGCCGATTTCAGTTTTATACCGCTTTAAACTTCAGAAGTTTCAAATAAGATCTCAAAAAAGCTGTGAAAAAAGCTTACACGGCTAGTAGAAAAGACCGAATTGTTGGATTTCGATGAAACTTGGTACAGAGGCTCTTCAGGACAACACCTTTGATTCAGGTGGTCCTAACTAGGGAACATTTTTTAATTCCAGAACAAGAAAGAAAATTTCTCGCAGGACAGGGCCTAATTTGCGTATATTGCACACTTTGAAGCTCTATGGCTCGGAAAAAGATCTATTGCGAGAAATTTTATTCGTATTCTGCAATCAGGGGGTCCTCAAGTACACTTCAGCAAAGTTTCAGCATAAAGTTCAACCGGGGGACTAAAACGTTTGTCTGGTAAGGTACCTCTGTACAAAGTTTCATCAAACTCCAACACCTCGACTTTTCGCACTTCCCTTCCCTGAAACTCACCGAAGAGCAAAGCTGCAACAAAGCAAAACGTGACAAAGTTCATGGTCGATTCAATAATTCAGTGGAGCCGAGGTCGAAGCAGCAGCGAAAGCGGGAAAAACGCGACGGCAATGGCAGATGGCAACTGGATCCGCTGGCAGTGGATGTAACATGCCGCCGATCGAATTTGCATAATATACTGCAGATCATCTCGTCGACGCCGCCCCATCAACTGGTTGCACCCGACCCGTCGACCAGCCTTTTTGACTCGCGCCGCATAATCGACACCGCAAAAACAAGAACTGTTTCGGAAAGCGAAAGGTCCTAAGCTCATCGAGGACCGGAAATGGAAATCAAGCGAGAGTGATGCTTTATGGACATCAATTCCTATGGTGAAGCTCATCAAAAACTTGAAAAAACCTACGGAGGCTACGCCAGAGTGGTCCCTATAGTGGTTAGGAGCAAAAAAGTCCACATAGGAGACAAAAAAGCGCCCTCTATACAGTGGTAAAATTCAGATGGTCACTAGAGGGGTTAAGGCCCCAAAAGCTCAAGTGGACCCTATAGAGTTTTCTAATTATTCGTTCAGATTTGAAAATTGAAACTAATTTCATCAATTCGATCTCTGTTTTTTTTTTCATTCAAGTACGTTTTTCGCATAGAAACGCTTCTTCTGTAATCGTAATCGACTAGCATGTCCCCTATAGGGACCACTTTCGAAAGCTTAGTGGCTTCTAGGGAGGTGAAGTGGTCCCTAGAGGGGAACGGTCAAGGGTTTGCCACTTTACCGACCACTCTGGAGTTCCTAAAGATGGCAGTTTTCCCGTTTTTCGTAAATTCAGCTCTCAAAGCTCTTTTCCGTTGACTTTGACGTATCTGGAAGCTGCTATTTTTCGAATCTGTAAAGGTTTTCAGCATGAGAATTCGATAATCTGTATTCAAAAATGTTCGTAAATCGTACGACTACGGTAGTTTTCGGTTTGTGCAGGACCCGTTTCTGTTGAACAGGCTCACAAAAAGGAGATATTCAGGTTGCCTGAAAAATTCCGATAGAGAAGTTTTCGTGAGTTTCAGGCGCTATTAGCGTTCGCTTAAATTTTTGAACTTCGAATCTGAAAAAAAAGTTCGGAGTATGCGGTAATGTGTGTTGGTGTTCTTACACCATAAGCACCATAATTCACGGAATCGGCTAACGTTCTAAAAGAACATATTAGAAATCATACAAAGAGAGAAGAAATAAATTTATAAAAATAAATTTATTTCTTCTCTCTTTTTTGTAGTTATCGTTTTTTTTTTTCTGATTTTTCTCTGTTTTTAGTTCATTCATTTTGTTACAAGAGTGGTGTTACTAATTTTGAAGCTTTAGAGAAACTCTCGGACAAAAATTAACAACTTTTCTTCGAATTTTTATTATTTTTACTTGATTTTTTGATCATTTTATACATTTTGAAAATTTTTTTTAGATTTGGCGAAGACTGCTATACTGTAAAAACTTTATTATATTGGATGGTTGATGGATTTATCGTTTTCTCGCAAAAAAAGAGGTTTTTCAAATGTATCTTTTTCTTTTTCTGTGTCTTCAATCATTTAGCATTGCAAAATCCATGATTTTTAGTTTTCAGAAGCGGATTTTTTGATACCTTAATGTCAGATTTAGGCTTTTTTGCAGCTGAAAACATTTCCAGACGATCGAAAACTGAATTTTGATGATTCCATTTGATACGTATGCGAAAACCAAATATAGAAAATGTGTGGTTCGAGAACTTTTGCTGAAAAGTTGGTTCGAATGATCCTTAAACGTTTGATCTTTTTTTGGTGATATAAGAAAAAAATTAGTTCAAATTTTTCATAATTTACTTTAAAATTAACTGAAAGTTTCTAGAAAAAGCTTTCTTTCTGAAGAGGTTTCTAGCTTTGAAAATCTTTCTTACCAGCTGGAAATGATTGAATTTAAAAAAAGTTTCCCCAAGAAATAAATAAGTTAGCCTTCGGCTTGTATTATGAGCCCAAAAAATCTTTCTCGGAACAAAAAAAACAATCTTCGGTCAAAAACTACGACAGAAGGATTTTAAACATAACCCCTACAAATTCTCTTGTTTTTTGTACTTTCCTACAAAGTTTTATAGCTTTCCATGGATTTTTAACCACTCGGTTATCACAAAAAATGTCAAAAATAGTGGCGACTACAAAAATCCTTGTTTTTTGTACCTTTCCCCGGCTTTTTTCTTGTTTTCTGATGATATTCTGTTCTAAAATTGGCTACTTTTTGACGCTTACCTCATAGGTAAGTATGAGTCAGACGGTTCATACGCAATATGTTCTTCTTGTAATTTCTTCACGCTTCAAATATAATGCTTGAAAGCTCATCAGGACTGATAAACAAACTACGTCTTCAAAATGGATATTTTTAACCCGATGACAAGAAGAAGTTGAGATTTTGAATAGAACAATCGTAAGGATTCAGTAATTCTTAGTGGTTTTTTTAAAAATTTCCCAAGTTGAAAATTTGATATTAGGAAGGTAGAACTGATTGAAAATCTAGTATGCCCTCTTAATTATCTATTGGATAATCAGGCGAGATTGCTATCATTTCCAACGACTTCAGAATGGTCCTGAGAAAATTGATAACGGCGGAAAAGTTTGCAAAAAGCGCGTGTTTAGACCAAACTAGATAAATATTTTTCTAGCCTGCTCAAAATGTCTTATCGATTACTGTAGTCTTAAACATCAATCAGCGGAATCAGATTTGCAAATGACAGTAAGAATTTGGCTAGACCTAATAAGTGCAGTTTTTCGCGATGATTCTGAATTTGAGCTTGAAAATCGCCGTGAAGGTTTATTAAATAAGTTATGACCGCATGAACTTTGAAGAAATACTCTCTAAAGAGGGAATAATCACTTTCCATAGGGCCTTGAGCATTCGAGAACCTTCGAAAAGTCGTTATTCAACTTTTAATTTCTAAAAAAACATTGGTAATTGTTTTTCTTGATCACCGGTGACCGCTCAATCTACCATCAAAAAAATGACTTCAATCGAGTTTTTCTTTTTTTCAAAGTTAAGAGATCATAACTTTATCATAAATGTTCTTCAGAATATTCCAAACACATATTCAAAATCACCATGAATAACTACATCTTACTTCTATCAGAAGTCCAAATTTGAGTCAAGAAAATTCCATAGTGCGATTTGCGTCCTTGAGGACTTTTTGGAGTTTTTTCTATGAGAAAATTATATTTTTTCTTTTTGGAAGAAGTTAAAAAGTCATGAGTGCCCTTGAAAATCCACTTGACACGGAACGGAGGCGAGAAAATTGTTTCCATACTCTAAATAACATTTTCCTTTTTGTTATTGCGTTCCCATTGGCAAGTACTCGAAATTCTGTACCCCACGGGAAAATGAAATCATTGTAGATGGAGCAACAAGGTTTTACTGCAGTCCAAAATCGATTTCTGGCGCGAAAATACAGTAGTCCCTGCGCCTTTAAGGAAATCTTTGTTTCTTGAAAAAAGTACGGAAAACGGTCTCGAGACTTCTTTCGAAATCTTCCAGGCTTCTCAGAAATTTCGATTTCTGAATCCCAGCAAAATTAGATACTTTAAAAATTCGGAGCGACCTTAAAAATCAATTCGAAACGGAAAGATTGTTCTCATACTTGAGGAAAGAATGCATTTTTTACGACAAATATTTGAGAATACGCAAAATGTTTTCGCACACGTGAACACCTAGACACCATTGTCAATGGAGCAACAATGTTTGCTTTAGTTTTAGAAACAAATGTAACGAATTTGACTTCTTTTTGCACCCCCACAGAAACGATTCTTCGACAGCTTCACTGTATTTAAGTCGGGCCGGAAATGCATCGAAATATCGAGATTTGCTTCGAAATCCCTAGACAGACTCGATTCGATTAACTGAGTCAGAAATTTCGACGCGACACCTGTCTCAGTTATTTTTGAACTTTCCTTTCAAGCTTGAAAATTTACTTTTCTTCATCCTTCTTGATTTGATGATGAATTCCTGTAGTTGTTTTTGCTTAAGAAGTCGAAAAATGCTTTGGATTTCTAATTTTTGAAAAGTTTCTGCGGCACGCCGTAGCGCAACAGGTTGTGTGCCTGTCTACAGTCTAAGGGGTCACAAGTTCGTTCCCCGCCGCCAGCCAAACCAGGGGGTTTAAGAAACGTTAGTAGTGGATAAACCACGGCTTCGAAATCCCCAGCCGTCTCACTCAAGGACGGATATGTCACTCGAGCCAGTCCATTGATTATCACTGATATCAGGATAAGACTTTGTCTAATCGAGCTGGGGCATCGACGCCGTTCAAACGGTGAAAAGGCGTAAAAAGAAGAAGATTTGATGAAAATTTTCTGGCCCAATTTGTTCAGATGACTCATTCAGAAATTTCTTGCTTCAACTATTTATACTCAGCGGAACTGATAAGCAAACTACATTTTTAATAACCAAATAACAGGGAGAGGTCGAGATTTCAACTGTGGGAAACTTGTAATATTGTATTGCAACGGGATTTCTTAGGCCTGGAAATAAAAAAAAAGTGAGGTTAGGGGAGATCAAGAGGTCTGAATACGTTTGAACAAGTTTTTAGAGGTAATACGGTTGGAGCGGTTGGATTAGGGTAATAAACCAAAATATATAAGAGTAACATAACAATTTGAACAAATATTAATATAACATCAAAGTTTGGGGTCTTAAGCAACGAGGACTTGGTTTTCGTAGTCTTTCGGGTAGTGGTTCTGGACCAGAAGCTTCGGCTGGATCATTGCCAGAGGTGCTCGAACTTTCTGGACTTTTTTGCGGTACAGGAAGAAGGCGACGGCCAGAACGGCGAGAGCTCCGATGAAGATCCTAAAAATAAAAATATTTTGAAAAATTTATTATTTTTGCTTGTTTTTTGCTAATGCCAGGTCGAGTTGAAGCTGTGGTAGCTAGATTACTGTAAGATGTGAAAGCTTGTTTTACACGCAAAGAAAAAAAAGTTGCCGATTGAATTTTTTCAAAAAAAGCAAGGCTAGGGTTACCCAGTCATACGGAAAATTGCCTGATGCACAGAATCTGTGTAGTTTCAAAGAAGAGAAGGCATGCGAAACGGTTCAAAGTAGAAAGAGTCCATGTTTGTGACGTACAGAGCTTTTGGAAATGACACAGAATGCAAAACTGATAGGATATTGTTTGCATCAATAATTGTGACGAACGAAAAAATATTTTTTCCAAAAATCTCCCGCAGAAAAGTGAGTCGATAATTATGCCTCATCTAGCCTTACAATGTGTTTTTTTAAAAGTTCAAACGGACCATTTCTTAAATTTGAGACTGGAATTTGGAAAGGAAAATGGTTAGTAATCACATTTTGGTTTCGAAACATCGCACGCATTGAAACATTCTTTTCAATCACCACTTTCAACAACTATACAAAGAGACCCCTGGAAACGCCGAAATCAAGATTGAGTCAATAATTATGAAGCACAGTATTTTGAGAGTGCCAACAAAGAAATGAACGTTCAATTGCAAAACGGAATGGAGGCTAAAACATGTGTAGTCAGTTACTGGTGCTCCTATGAGGACGCCTGTTTCACTAGAATTTAGAGGAAGTCGATAATCATTCAGCACTGATCCAAGGGATTTTCTAATGATGTCACAAGAAGAAAGCAAAAAACTCACAGAGAAGTGGGCACGTCCGCCATCAGTTGAGGCTTTTCTGATAAAGGGAGGAGGAAGGTGCTATTCTGAATCAGCGGGGCTGAATTCACGACGACGGCTGGTTCATACTGAACCTCCTGCCGAAGGAGCATCTTTAGTTTTTCTGAGTTTGTATCTGTTGAATATCGATAGTTTCCATATTTTTCCTGAACGCAGTCGAGTGTCACATTGATTTTCCGCAAAGGCAGAAAATCAATTGTTATGAATCTTCTCGATGATTTCATTACTGAGCTCTAACGTTACTTGTGGCTCTTTTGCCGTCATGCAGTAGTTCGCGAAGAGGGGTTCGCACACCTTGTAGGTGTCCTTTTGAATACCTCTGTCCGTGAATGTAGTGTCACATTTAAATAGGGGGCATGTATCAACCAATTTGAAAGTGACGTCCCAATTGAAAGCTCCTCGTAGGAAACGTTTTGTGATTGTTCTGCAGACTTCGTGAGACTAAATGGCGCACAAGTTCAAAAGGTACTTCGACAGCGGTAGTTCCGGCTATCAGCAGAGGGAGCAGAGCGAAGATCTTCAACATGGCTCTCGAGAGCGGCAAAGAAACAGAAAGTGCTCAGGTCTAGACTACTTTGGTAGGGCTCCGCCCATTTTCGTCGCACTGACCTTTGACGCTCCACCTTTTTTCTGAGCTTGTTTTTCTTTAGGAACTAGCAAAGCTCCGAAGAAAAAAGCAGAGATGGAAAAAAAAATCGTGAACTTATTATAGACGATAAATCTCATTTGCAAAGCTCCCGAAGGGGCGCGGCTACGGGCTTTGAAGCAGTTTCCCCGGGACGATCCGATCCGTGAAGTTGAAAATGGGTCAAAAAGAAGATTGAGAAAAAAATTAAGAAAGAATGCACCTCTGTTCATATGTTTCTCCCTTTTTTAAAGTTTTCGAAGTCTGGAGTTAAGTAGAAAAAAAGAGCTATGAGGGTTCAAAAGAGCAGGTATGGAATGTGAAAAGGGAAGTGGGTGAAGAGTTAGGAATAGTAACAAAAATGTCAAGGCCCTACTATTTCCCTTTTTTCGGAAACTTGTAGAGGCTCTCTAGTATAACTTGGAAACGAATTTTCAAACATCACTAATTTCAGAACGCAAAAAAGCCTCTCCAGACACAGGTGCATTTTTTCAATAACTATTTAATTCCAACGTCAGTTTCCAGTTCACTTCTTGCACCTTTCCTTCGGCAGATCAAAAAAAAAGTTCAGGTGGTCTAGCTTTTTTCTGCACGAAAATAGAACATAGTCTGTTTGGTCTTGTGAGAGAACTGGGCTACTGTAGCCCTTCTCCACGTGACTTTTTCGTGTCAAAGAAAGAAAGATCAAAATATCATTGATGTTTGAAAATTTACTTCAAAGTTATTTTGGAACTCGGCAGACATAGTTTCTGCGCGACCACTCAGACGATCTTTGAGAAAAGATTTGACCTGATTTGGAACGCCGTGATATTACGGTAGCTTAGCAGTGACTTGAGAATTTTATTCAAACTTTTCCTTGTTTGCAAAAAATTTTTGATTTGAGGCTTCTTAGATGTACTTGAGAATTGTCTTTTTGGTCATGCTGCGTTTTTCTCACGATGGGAGGTCACTTTAATTTTTGTTGGGAATTTCCTGAAAATTGGTCAGAATACTCCTCGACCGGATGAAGATTCTGAAAGTCTCAATCTGCACAACTTTCTCGTTTTTTTGAGAAAAAAACGTCTCAAAGTCAAAGGAAACCCTCAAAATTCATAAAATGGGCTATTTTGAGGCTTTGAGACCTTATTTCTTCGAAAACGAGGTAGTTGTGCAGGGCGAGACTTTGATCTGGTACATCATGTCCTGACCAACTTTCAGGAAACTCTCAACCGCAAAGTAAAATGACCTCCCCTGTCAGCTCTGGTTTTCCGTTCTCAGAGTGTATTGGAAAAGACAGTACTTCGAAAGAAGTTGAGAAAGTTTAAAGCCGAATCTCAGAAGTTTCAAAAAAAAAAATCGGCTAACACTAATGACGCCTACAGTGACCCGATAACTGTAAGTGGGGAGTTGCGAACATAGAAAAAACATTTTGAGAAGTATCCACGAACAAAAGAAACATGCCAAACTGATAAAAAAAAGGAAGGAGTCAATATTTTTGACGCACTGAGAGCTTTTGCACAACATCCACAGTCACAACAAGCAAAACTGATCATTCAAAATCCAAGTCCTTGATTAAAACGCAAAAAAACTTTTGATCAAAACAAGTTCTTCTAAAAACTTTGAGAGCTCTACAAAGACTTAGCTTCAAGAACTGCAAAATCATGATTGTGTCAATACTTTTGACGCACCGAAATTTTCAATATTTTCCTACATGTTATTCATATACTCCTACAAATTGTTTATATACAAATGACCCAATAAAAAAAGGGAAAACTCACAACAACATGTCTGAAGAGGAAGTCGGTCGAGGCATCACCAGTTTTTCGAAGGCCGACTTGCAAGTCGGGCAGAAGCTGTCGGTCGGAATAAATTCGGCTGTCACGACGGCGGGTTCGTACTGCACCTTTTGCGGAGGAGGAAGTTTCTTCCTTGCGTTGTCATGCTTGTAGAGGTTTTTGAAAGTTTCCCGCTCACATTCGAGCGTCACTTCCAACGTCTGCAGGTATGGCAGGAACTTGAAACTCTTCTCGATTTCCTCTTTAGTGAAGTTCAGAGGGACTAGCGGCTCTAGCGGGTTCACCTCGCAGTATTTCTTTGAGAATTCACCGCACACAAGGTAGATGCTCTTGTTAACTTTTCCATCGAAGAAAAACTCTGTGGCTGGTCGAATGGCCCCTTTTCTGCACCTCGCCAATTTCAGAGTGATTTCCAAGTTGGATGCTCTCCGAGCAAAATGCTCAACTTTGAGCCGTTCTTTGATGTGTTTCATGAAAACACTTTTCAAAGACTCAGAAGGTTCTTCGACGGCGGCAGACCCGGCTATCAGCAGCAGAGGGAGAAGGGCGAGGAGCTTGAGCATGGCTTCGAGGATATGGAGAATAAGCAAATCAAGAAGTGGTCAGGTCTAGACTACCTTGGTAGGCTCCACCCATAATCGTCGCTTTGCACTGACCTTTTTTTCGACGTTCCACCTTTTTTTCCTGCTTCTTTGGATTGGATTGGACTCTCAAGGTTTGAGAGAAAAAAAGGGCGGAGATATGACTCATAGAGGAAAACAGCACGGGAGAACGTATGTACAGTGACTAGATGTGGTGGTTTCACCTGATAAGGAAGGACCTACTCTAGTCTAGACGCGAGACGGTCACGTTTTTAAACACAGCTGAGAAAAAGCTACCGGAAATACAAGCTCATTTGGGCTTTCGCTTCGAGACGCTTCGAAAAACTACAATAAACACGGGTCTCAAAACGAAATTGGCCCTAAAGTAGACGGTTTTCGGCGTGAAATTTCTTCTACTCAAAAACTTTGGCTTTCCTTGAAGTTTGGCTTAAGCGTGAGTTTTACAGAGAAGACTTCGGAAATTTGTGAACTTATCAAAATTTTTCTGAGAAGAAGCTTCAAAACTTGTCTGGACTCAAAGTGGGAAACGGAAAGTTTGGAGCTTGTCTTTTCGGAAAAGAGGAGTTTGAAGATTCCGAATTTTTTTATCTGGAAGTTCGAAAAAGAGGTCAGTAGACTTTTGAAAATGAAGTAATACAGTAAGGGAAAAAAATCAGCGGGACATGGTGATTTCTGGACCATGAGTCTCTAGAGCATATCTGGAATTCTTTTGGATTTCATAAAGCTTTTTTTATTAGAAGAATGAATTTTCATTTCTCAGAACATGATTTTTATTGAGAAGAGTCTTCATAAAGCCTTAAAGAGTCCTGGAATCATTATGGGTGATTTTTCCATCAATTTTTAAGATTTTCGAGAGTTTTCCAGCATTTTTTTTGAGTCCAAAACGACCAATTTTCAACCTCCTACTTAATTTTCGATTTCGATCGCTTTCTGGAAGTCCTAGACGCATTTGGAATGTCTCTAGACGCATTTTCGACGCTCATCCGACCTAAAACGAGTTGCGCTCTCGGACATAGGAGTGCTCAAAAATTAGGGTTCTGTTTTTACAAAAAAATTTCAAAAAGACCAGGATCATTATGTTGTTTTAGACACGGGGTTAAAGTCTAAGTTCGAAATTCGCTGTGGAGGTCTTTTAACCAAACGTTGGTTCCTCAAGGTTGAATAGTTTATAATGCTATATTCTATGTAAAAATATATCTTGCCTGAGTAATTTATAAGAAACAAAAAGTTATCTCGGTTGTAAAGTCTAGTCGGTACGGTGTCTTTTAATTATCAAAAAAAAACTTGTCGGCTTGAAATTCAATAATCGAGATTCAAGCCACCATAAATTTTTCCAGAGACCTTGTTGGCTATTTTTTTTAGTTTAGAATGCGAATCACCGTGAAATTACAGCTTTTAAAAATTCTTTCTTTGGACGAATAAATATAAAAAGACCGAAAACAGTGGAAAAATGTGTGATATGGGAATTTTCGAAGTTTTCAACCTGCCCAAAAATTCAGTTTTGGAGACGTAAAATTAGGGACCGCAGAGCCACGCACACTTCGCTGTTCAAAAAACTTCGTCATTTTCGTTGCATTTTGGTTCTTTTTTATATTTTAAAACAGTTTTCTTGTACCGATTTGGGAAAAAATTAGGGGAAACATACAATCGGCTATGCTTAACAATCCTACATGAAAGAGAATACTGAAAAATGAGAAATAAGAATGTACGACGACAGTTTTTAAAACGCATTTGTGGCCGAAAACAGATAAAAATCCCGTTTTTTCTTGAAAGTTTCTGGGCAACTTTTTTTATTCTTGAATATCATAAAGCAACTAAAAACGCATATTCTGGCAAAAAATAAAAAAATTCTATGGTTGGCCTCAAAAAATAACGCAATTTGAAAATCACGATTTTCGAAATTCCTTATTTTCGAAAAACGCAATCGATAATTACTGATTATATTTTTAAACGGTTGTTTGCAGTTGTTTGCAAATTTTAAAAATAGAAAACTAAGTTTTTCATCGATTATATAGTTTATATGAAAGCTTAAAATTTCGGTTTTTTCGTAACGCTTTGAAAACGGCCCAAAGCGTTCTGGGCAAGTTTTTTTATTTCATAATATCAAACATTAGACATTTCTCTACAACATATCAAAAAAAATAAAAAAAATTCCTAGGATGGCCCGAAAAGTATGGTTAATTTAAACGCTCGAAAGTTATTTTTTTAAAACTGCGCGTCGCTGAAAAATCTGCAGACAGCGCGAAGGCCACGAAAATTTTTTTCGAAAGCGTCAAGAAGGTTTTTTAACTATTTATGTATTCTATTCAAGTTTTTCTCATTTTATTGTGGCTTTATAGTTGCTTTTTCACTCATTTCATAATTGGAATCTTTTTTTCCTATATCATTATATCCATTATAGCAGCGAGAAAAGTATTAAATTTCGCTTTTACTCAACTTTTTTTGAATTTTTTCAGAATGTCAAGTAAAGAATTCTAAAAAATTGTCTACGTACACTCCATGTAGACGCACAAACTTTAGAGAAAAAAATAAAAGAAGTAGAAAATCAAAAGTAAAAAAACGCTTTTCGCCCTTTTTTTAAAAAAACTCTCTGAAAAAAAGGACTTGGTGATTATTTACATATTTTTTTCAGTAAATTTCTTAGTAGACTGTTACATTTTTCAATTCGGTTTAATGCTGTTCGTCCTTCGCAGAGGTCTATTTTGTCGGTTATTTTCTTTTTTTACGAAATGCATTGAAACCTTCTTCAAAACTCGCTTTTCAGCAGCGTGAGTGCTTGAAGAGTAGGCTGATATTGAGAAAAAGCAATATTCAATATGAAAACTCTAATATTTCATTTAAAACTTCTAAAAACTCAAATAAATATGTTTTCGAAACGTCTCCTGCGTGAATTAACGCACAGCAAGGAGCGCGCGGCATCTATAAACACGCCCCTTTTCCTGCGACCCTGACGAAAGTTTCTACACAAAAGTGGTTCCCCCGATTTCGCCACTTTTTTGCTTATAACTTTTTTCATTTTTCATATTTTTCTTTTCTGTTTTCGCAGTTAGCTCTCGATTGCCATCAGCTTTCTTTTCATATAGGTTTCATGTTTATATCACTGACTTTGGAAATTGGCCTGCGGTCCCTACGTAAAATCTCAAAATTTGCATTCAACTTTGAGTTTCCAAAACTGCATTTTTCGAAAATAGCAACTATAAATTTACCGGTTTTTGAACTTGAATTTTTTTTTTAGAAAAAAATGCGAAAAACCCCAAATGACTTAATTAAGCCGTTTTGTGTTGCAAATTCGTTTCAAGGGTTGGTCAAGGCGTTCAAAGGAACTCATATTCAGATTTTAGACATCACCATCGTGCTCGAAATTCTGTCTTAAAGTGTTTTTCCTGATAATGAGTTCAAATTGTTCCGCTTCCGGTGATGTGACTGAAAATTTTTGCTTTGTTCGTTTTTTTCTACCTTCGTCATTTCCGGTAAAAGTCAGCATGATTTTTATCATCATTTGGGATAATAAAACACATGTGGTGAATTTTATAATCACCGGGAGCGCAAAAGAAGTGATAAAAATTGTGGTTTTGAAGTTTTCTTCAAGATTTGCGAAAATTGATACCAACAGAAAATTTTCTGGGGACAACTTTCAAGGCTTTTTGTATAAACGCTGTCAAATCGGAAAACTAAGAAAAAGGTACCAATTTTCCCAATTTTGAAGTTTGAAAGGCTTGAAAGTTTTATTGTCCTTATTTTTTTGAACTTTTCGGTCTCGATTCTCTTTTTGTGCAGCAGATTAATATCTAAAGATTTAAAAAAGATTAATCATCATAGTTGATAAATTCAGCTTTCCACGCAAATGGCAAAGATTAAGAGAGAAATTAAGCTGGAAAAGCTGGATTTTTTTCATCAGGAAAATTGATGGATAAAGAAGAACCGAAAATTATGAGGAAAATGAAGTTTTTCGGCCTTTATTGTAAGGTTGAAGCTTTTAGGGAAATTACAATGGTTTTTTGAACTTGATCTCTTATAAGTTTTCTTCTTTCGCTTTTTTTCAAGTTTACTGGATCTTTGATATTTTTAATGAGCTTTTTAGTTCTTCATTTCCACGAAAAATATCGGAAAATCGTATATTTTTTTTCCAAATTTTTTATAGAGTTGTCATGGCCACTAGACACTAGTCTCAAAAAGAAAGTTTCAACAAAAAACAAGAAATACGTAGATTTCTTGCGGGTAACATAGAATTTACTTTGTACCAGACAGACATTGTTGCGTCAGCTCAGAAACCATGAAATTTTGCAACTTCAGGTCACTATTTTACGACGAAACTTCATTGAAACACATTCAAAACTGATAAAGTTGTCATCAAAATAAAGAGGAACCTTTTTTCAAAGTTTCCACCGAATTTCATCACTTTCGGTTGCAATTTTGACTTTTGGGGAGGTTTTGAAGGTGAAGAATTGGAAAAGGGTCGAAATCTTGAGCTTCAATGATAATTTTATAGAGTTTTTTTCAAAAGATTCTGTAGATCAAAGTTAGTTTAAAGGTTTTACGCTTAAGCTTCCACTGAAAACTCCTGAGCGCGACTCAAAACGACTTGCGCTCAATGACATCAATGAAATGCTAAAAGCCGCGATGTTTTGAGCCATTCCAAATGCCACCACGGTTTTTTTCAAATTGAGATTTCTATGAAAGAAAAAGCATTTCAAAAAAATAAAAAAATAAAAAAAGAAAATCTTCACCGATCGAACTAGAAACAAGCAGCCAAAGTTACAGTACCTCTAATCTTATCAGTCCCTTATCTTGCTTCATTTTCGACACTTTTCCATCAAATTTGCAGGGCATGGTAATAATTCTCTGGCCTTTCGTTTAGTATATTCTTACATCATATAATTCTTTCGTTGATAAGGCCCACTAACTATGATAAAAATCTACCCGAAGAATTTGGTCAGTGAACTATATCAATGGACTTTTGA